AGTTTCGCATTCAATAGTACATTCACATTAGTTTTTCGTTATAGCATTTTAGTCAATCATTTATACAGTCCACTTAATATTCATTTTACATCAATAAATTCATAGTTCGTTATTAAAGTGTTAGTTCTTCATTATTTCCATAACATTGGCGCAGCACACACGCGCCGCAACAACTTTTTTAAATTAATTAGGTATAAATACCTATTTATACCTATTACTTGCCTATTAAATACCTATTATTATGAGCTTTCTTTCCAGCTCATATTTTGAATGTTTTCAAATTTTCAAAATAGTTCAATAATCTTGTCGGTATATTTAAGAAATCATATAGCTTCAAACAATTTAAACTTTTTCACGAGTTTGAACTTATACATTTATATGTAAACACCGCGCGTTTGATCAGAAACACTTTTGACGTGCAAATTTGTGAAACGCGTCAAAAGTTAAATCTTTAAAAGGGATTTCAAAATCCTTTTAGCTGCGTAAAATCCTGAGCCGGTAAAAGCTGTACGCTGAGTCAAACTGTTAAAGAAGCTGTCAAAGAAATTTTCAAGCAATTCCATGCAAACCTTTAGCTAAACATCTAACATTGCTAACATGACTAATTGACTATAAATTAGTTAGGTGATTAATTTACGTATCATCACGGGTTTTCCTTAAGAAACGGCTGCCTGTTACATCGGTACTATTAAATTGTATTTAGTGATAAACACAACACAATATGATAAGTAATAATCCTTACTTATATGTTACCTGCCCTTGGCAACCACTATACATTAGATATGATAAAAAAGTGTACTTGAGTCAAATTACTTCAAGTGCCTAAATGGCAATAGGATTACAAAGTGTAAGTAGGAACAGTTTGTGTTAGCAGGAACACCTAGTTTGACTATTTTGCCAATATCGTAAACCTAGTCAGTTTTATTGATTTCCCCATTCATATACATTTTATCGCATCTTTAAAATTCACTAAGCGTGCAATAGTGCATAGCTTAATAGTAAAACCTATTGCATTAACTTTTGATTCCAAATTACTTGTGTGAAAAAAGAATTTTTGCATAATTTATCATATAAAGTTCTAAATTGCTTGAAAGCTGGATTAGCTGAGATTTAACAATAGATTTCTACCATATATGTAACAGTCAATGACCAAAACGGGGTTTCTGGACTGCTGAAACGTTTGCATATTTGTGTTTTGGTTTAATGTTGCACTGCTTGCTTCAGCCAACACAAGGGCACAATTAGCCAAAGATTTTGAACGAAAAAGTTCAATAATTTGATCGTGCAGTAGTACTTTAACATACCTCACTCCGTTTCGAGATTTTTTACCGTGTGTTCAAAGTTATTTTCAGTAAGTTCTGTCGTGTTTTCAAACATTAGTTATATTTTGGGTCAGCTATTTTTACCAAGGTATTTTCCACTTAGTTATTTTTTTGCTTGAACGCTTTTTTACCCTTTTTTTGTTGATATTCAACCTACCTTTTGTTGATATTTTGTTGATATCCAAAAGGTCTTCCAGCAGGTAATTTAACTACTACATAGGCCTACATTTAAAACTCGACTATCAAAACATAAAATGGCGACTGAGTTAACCATCACTAAAAAAATAATGTATCAACTTAATCAAACTCGACATAACAATTGCATTTTAGAAACTACATCCATAACTAACTCGTTTTGGTTTTACTTTTCGTTGAAAAAGATTACTTTCTATTTTTGTTTTTTATATCATTGTAGGTAGCAATTTTTTAAATTCATTGTAGCAGCCCCGGAACTGTAAAAATGACTAATATTGGTTTTATATTACCTGTCGTCAGTTCCAAATTGTAACTTTCGTAGAAGCTATTAATAAATATTACTTTTGGTTGGATAGGCCTATCACGGGTACGAAACATTGCCGTTACACGACCGGGAAAAGACCCAAAGCAATGTTTCGTACCCGTGATAAAGAAGCTTTTTTTTATCCAACCAAAAGTATTATTTATTTATGTGTCGTGTGTTAAGTGTCATGTGTTTAAACCAACAATGAAGCTATACAAGTGGATTTTTTAATGTACATTCCTGGACTATATGCTTGACAATGACAGCTCGCCGAAACTGACAACAGGTAATATAAAAACAATATTAGTCATTATTACAGTTCCGGGGCTACTACAATGAATTTTAATACTAATATTTAGCCAAATTCTAAAAACCTATTTAAAGTAAAACTGTATTTCCATGCCCAAAATAAACCACAACTTAATTAAACTACGATTAACCCATTTTGGTAAATGTAAGAGATAAGGTTAGCCTCAGGAACAATTAAACTTTATGCTGGGATTATAAGATTTGAAAACCCTATTGTTAGGTTTACACTAAGCTTATTTCATCCCTTTATAAAAGAAACGCTACTGTATTTTGATACTCTCATTCAAGTAAAGGCATTAAATCTATTCAATTAATATTGGATATTTGTGAGTATGTTGAATTATCATTAATTGTTGACAAACACATAATCTATTTAGAAGGTATAATATATTTCGCTTCAATTCAGTTAGTAATGACGTACATTTTAAATATTTCAATGGAACTTGGATTAATCTGTTAAATGTATGGAACCCTATTGTATAATTAATATCAACTTGGTTTTTTCACGTGTGTCGGATTTGTTTTCAGGAAGCCTTCATGGCTCAGGTTTTTCCCTGCTATATAATTGTTTTATTTCCAACGGTCCTGAAAAAGTACACAAGTAGTATGCTATTTTAAACCCCTATTACTATTTAGTGTTATGAATGCTCCAAATTAAGTAAATGGACTGTTAAAATCTGGGTGGACGTGTGCCTAGAGAATAAAATCTGTTAACTCTAGTATGCAATATTGTTGTAGTATGTAATATTGTAGTGTGCAAATCTATCAATGTTTGTGTCTCATAGATTAGTGATAACCTTTTTTAATTGGACGTACAAAATCTAAGCCCCGTTTTAAGTGTTTTCTGAAAACAAAATCGGTTTTGTTTTCTGTCAAAGAGGTGGGGCTTGTGCAATTTAAGTTTAAATCATGTCACCTATCTAATAAAAATGTCTCATCCATATCAGTCAGTTAGTTACATTATCAAGCTATATTATTTAAAAGATGCTTGGTCAAAAAGATGGAAGTTAAATTAAAAATTTAATATAAAGAAAAACATTTTCAAAGTTTCATAATAAATATTAATATTATTTATTTAATTTTTAGGAAAGTCTAAATTTGTTAGAAAGTGTTTAATTGTTGTTATATTCTTTTTGAAAAATAACCATAGATTGTATAGAAACATTTAATGTTTTGTTAAAAAACAAAAATAGTAAAGGTTATTTTTATTAATAGCTATTTACTATTGTTATTAAAATATATATGTTCTTTTTGTTAAAATATCTCCATTTTACGAAAAATGTATTTCTTTTGGTTTCTTAATTTGTTTTAGAAGTACAGTTTACTTCAATTCATTTAATTATTGCTGTTTGATATTTAAGTGCTGATGACCAGGTACGCCAGCCGCAAAAGACGGCCATAAACATTGATGAATTTAGTGCCAAGAATTTCATTGTACTTATTTTGTAAATAAAAGCACTTTCATTCATTCATAGTATCAAGCTATATAGCAAAATATTTTGTAGCCATTTATTGGTTAATTCGATATTATATAGTTTTTTTTTGTTTATTTACCCTCACACACCAAAAATGTTATTTTAACATACACCAAGTACACCAAATATACAACAAGTTAACAATCTACTACATATGCAACAGTTCGTTTCAGTACTTTCAATCAATGAATCAACCAAAACACTAAATCGCATTACGTTTCTCAGCTGACGATCGCTTTGAAACCTCTCCAACGTACCAACGAAAACTGTCAACTATAAACAGACGTTACAAACATTTTGCGTGATATTTTGTGTGTTTGTTTTGACACAGTTAGTTGTTATACAGTTTTTTTTCACAACCATTTCTAGGGTATATTTTTTACCCGTCATTGGTGTTTTAAAATTCTTATTGTGTGAAAATGCATCATACATTTTAACACTTTAACTGTTATTCATTTATATATTTGACAAGTAGTAAAGTATATAGGATGTGGACTACCATTCCACCAGGATTGATTATCACAATTTTAAAACTAGGAACCAACATCAATTTGATATACAGCATGTTAGACTGACAAAAAAAGAAGAATCAACGAGTACTGGGCCTAAAATGTCTGAACAAATTGCTTAAAAAACTTCTATCACTTCGCTACAAAGTCTTTAAAGCTAAAATAATTCATATCTAAACCACCCGTCCTACAACTTGAATGATTGTCTAGAACTTCCTAGACCTCAAAATAATTAGTACCGTAATGTGTATATTTTTCTCTTGTAGTTTTCCTCACCTGTGTGTATTTTTTTCTCTCTTGATTTGTTGTTTTGACCTGTATTCTTTCTGTACAAAATATGAAACAACATTGACCCTATTGACTTTCCACACACAATGTATTGTCTTACTGGAATTAAACATGTTATTCTTGATTCCTGATGCTTTGATAAAAAAAACATTCACCGTTCAGTATAGTGTGATGCTACTAGTATTAAATAATCATTTCCAATTTTAAACTAAACTTTACCAATACAATCTCGTTGGAAAATGTGTATGCTGTTACTGTAGTAAATTATACTTAGGATTAGCTAATAGCTATACAAACAATTAAGCTGGTTGATAATTCATTTGACATATACTTGAATAATATCGTTATAACATAAGCGTCTACCTTGTATTTCACTTAAAATGAAGCAATAGAATACGGAAATTAAACTCAAGTTTTTTTCAACAAGATAAGTCATCCGCAACGTCTTAAAATAAAACTAATGTCAAAACTTAAACACCCTTTGATTTAATTTCGAATGGTCAGCAAATAACTACTTTCCAATAAGTTAGGGAGGTTTTCTAACTCCTTATGTAGGCAGTGATTGAATTACATTGTGTGATTATTATTTAGAACCTACCTTTATATATCAGCAAGGGGGAGGACTCCATAGGTTCCGTCGACACACACACTACAACACGCATGAGGGCGGAGCGGTCTCCAGCACATCATGCCTCTCCGGCGTCCCGACCACTACTGAATCCATATACACTGCTACCAACACGAGCAGTGCTGCCAACTGGCCTAGTATCAGCACGAAATTTCCCTGCAAGAGCGCTCTGTGATCTCGCCGGCTTGTTTGTTTACCGATGCAAAACAGAGCTCTGTCATGACGTTATTACTTTGACTGTTTCTAAGTAGGGTTGGGTGGCGGAATGTTGCAGTTGAAATTGGATTTTGGTTCTGAAATAGCTTTGGTGAAAAGGTACAATAATTTGTGTGTTTTTTATTAAACACAACTGGTCAAATTTGGATTATTTAATACTACATAATGTTCGTGTAGTCAGGAGTATCAACTATGTTCGTGGCGTATACCAAACCAATTGTCGAGCGTAATTGAAATTAGATCTTACTCGTTTACTTTGTACACTTGTATGAATTTCTCGGAAACAAAAGTTATATTAAAATTTACCCAAGATTTTGAACTGGCAAATAAGGTAAAAATAGAAAAGCCAAATTTTTTGTATTAATTGTATTTTTCCATCTTGAAGTCTACTCGTTAACTCAACATCAATTCATAACCCATGTAGGCCCATTCAAATATATACAAATTTGCTGGTCAGGCTGTGCTAACTTGTTTTGTTAATAGCTTAATTACGCCCAAATAAAATGTGAACTGACTGGATAAAGGGTTTCATTGGATATTAGGACACAAATATAACACACACACATAACAATGGCCTAAAAATTCATATTAAAATACTTTATTTTCATAATTTTATTATATATTTATAAATCTATTGAAAACAACAATAAATAGTCCGAAACAAACTAGATTATCGTTAAATAATGAGTTTCTGAATAAATAACAAGAAAAATAAGCTTTTAGTTCCTAATACCTTAAGAGACAAAATCAAAGCGTTTGGAAATTTGTTCGGAACATTTTAATGACCTACATATTTTCAAGCAATTAAAATATTAACTAAACTTTCATTTAAAGGGAAAAGTCAGAAAGGACTAAAGCAAATCCACAAGTGAGGCGACACTGTTCAGGTAATGTGATATTTGAAGGTCTTCTTCCAAGTCTAACCAGATCTCTGTCAGAACCAATAGTTACCTTTGCCCTTTCACGTTACTCTAGTGGCATTACCTAAATATAAAACAGTTCTTTGAGAATGTATGTAGTAAAAGTCAGCATGAAAAGTTATGCATTCTATTAACAAATCGTGATAGTTTACGTCCACAACAAGCGATTTTCTGTTTACATTTATTTAGAATTTTTAGTTAAAACCCTATGTTTATCAAAAGTTCATTTAAGTAGATAAAACATTGATTATTTTTAATAATGTTCAGATTACTAGGTGTGTGCTGTGTATGGAGAAGGCAATACGGCAGCTGAACCCACATTGCATCCTAGAACGGAAGGCGAACGATTATTTAGCTTAGCGAAAAATAATAGCCTAGAATGATGATCAAATAAAAAAAACAAACTACTCCCCCGATGCCTTTATAGTATGGGGGAAATTAATAAGCATCACATCCTTGAAATTTCAGATTTTTATAAATATTTTAAATTGAAAACGTTTATCAGAGTATTTTCCGGGTGATGCAAATGACCTTATTAAGAACAGTTATTCAATATGTTTGGTAACTGATATACTGTTTTTGTGTGGCTTCCATCAACACAATTTACACACAGTAATTTCCATAATACCTTAAAAGGCATAATCTTAATTTTATTTTATCCTTAAAAACAAAGTATGAAAGTTAGAATGTTATTCAAAGAATGTTAGTTAGTATGTTACATACAATCGTAAAATGGTTATACCATAAAAATAAATAAAGCTAACGTAAAAAATACGAGTAAAACAAATTTGCAAGCAGAGATGATAAAACCAAAGTTAACAATACAAAGGCAAATTGTATCAACCTTTTCAGCTCAAGTTGTTCAACAGTAGCAACAGTAATATTTTCCGTACCTTTTGCCGCCTCCTACGTTGTTTACTTTGTTATTTTCCAAAAACTGTGTATTAGCGAATTCCCTACAGTTAAGTAGTTATAACCGTAAGACGGTTAGACCTAAACCAGGGACCGATTTATTTATTTATTTTCATTTTAATGTAACTAGAGGTTAAAAACACAATCCGTTCAAATTTGTATACGTGCATATTTATATCTGAATAGCTCCCGCAATCACTCACTTTTTCAAATTTTTTCCTAACAAATGTAAAATGATCAACTTTTATTTAGATCATCGCATATTAAAAGCATATAATTAAAGGCTACGGATGAAAAATAAAACAACTATACATTAAAAATTGCCACCTTATTCTTATATTTTTAAGTAAACTGTTGTGTATTGTTTATAGGTATACTGTGATTAAATTTGTCAAACTTATTTATTTCATAATATAATACAATTATTTCCCGAACAAAACTCATTTCCTTTACATGTAGAATGTAGCATTAGGCCTAATTTGCTCGTTAAATAATTTTTTTTTAAATAGGGAGTAAATCTAACAGGTTTAAGGAAGTATTTTAGTCAAAATTGAATCAAACAAATTGGAATTAGCTTTGTCTGCTGGATTGCTATGGTTGGAGCGCCTTAAACATAATTTTGACCTAATAAATCAATTAATTCAATTTAATGTAATTATCTATGTTGGCAATTTATAGTCTTTGACAGCCCTAGTAGTTGTGTGTAATACATCTGCAAAAGATTATCCAATGAAGCATTAACGATTGTTTGTGAATTAAAGATTGAGCTATGAGTAATAGTATAATTGTAACTTTCTAAATTGATATTTCAAATGTATTCATAAAAAACATTTTTAATGCGGTATTATACTTTAAATATTGCCGGAAAGGTAAATTATAGATGGGGAAGTTTAGTAAAAGTCAAATTAAATTAATAACATCTTTTAAAAAAACTTTATTTCGATTATAAATTATCTTTCTTCTCCTTCATACAATATTTAAAGAATTTAATCTGAGGGATGCATATAAAAATTCCACGAAGACGTAATTGCCAAGCTTTAACAGAAGCAGTTTTAGGAAAAAAACTAAATTGCTTATTAATGAACTCTGTTAAAAGATCTTTCAATGAAATATTTATAATGTAATGAACTTTTTCAATGATAGAAGTTAGTCCAATGAAGAAAAATACATGTACATTTCTCAGGTACTTATTTTGATTGTACAGGTGTACCTTGACTTTTGGTAAATACTTTAAAACAATAATTATTTATTTTGAATCATTTCTTTGGTTTCTAAGCAAATTTAGATAGCACGTTAATCTAATCAATATTGCATATTAAAGATTATCAGGTTTCTTTTCCGAGGCGTTTCGGCTCTTCTACCCGACCAATTTTCATAATTTTGGTCTTAAATTAAAGGTATGCACAGTATGTTTTGCCATCAAGCATCGACATTCGTTAGTTTGTCATATATTTCGAGCTATGCACAAAAGCAATTTACTCCCTGTACATTTCTTATGGGACTGAAATTTCGTTTTTCTTTTTCGAGTTCGTTTGGCTCTTCTACCTGTCATATATATTGTTTAAATATATATTGTTATAATTTACTCAATGCTAATAATTGTATATCTTATTTTATGTTGTACAAACTGGACTTTATGTTTTGTTATGTTGGCGACCTGTAACGTTCAATTCACTGTCATCCAATGTAACTATCCTCCTTCTCAATTATAATGGCTGACTATGCAGATCGTCTTTTATTGATGAAGCCCTTTGCTCAAACTTAAATATACTAATTTAAGACATGGCGCAGTCGCCAGCTTCTATATTTGCTAACGAAATGTGTAGTAAAGTGTTTAAAGTTATTAAAACTCTTGGATAATGGGCAAAGGTGAAGAAAATGTTAAAAGTAATGAAGGTGAGCCTGGGCCTACACGAAAACCGGTACATCAAACAGGTAACTCCAGTTCCAGTAATGTAATTAGGCATCCTACAGAACTATCATGGAATGGAAACATGGGAGAAAATTGGCGTTTTTTCAAACAAAAATTCCAAATATATTTAGCTGCTAGTAGATGCACTGATGAGAACAGTGAATATAAAATAGCACTTTTGCTGAATTCCATTGGTGATAGGGCTTTGAAGATATTCAATAATTTCACGTATGATCCTGCTGATGATAAGGACAATTTTGAAACTGTGCTCAAGAAATTCGATTCTTATTTTTTACCTGAAGTAAATGAAACATATGAGCGTCACACCTTTTTCTTAAGGGAGCAGAAACCAGATGAGACAGTAGATCAATATGTAACAGATCTTAGAGACTTGAGTAGTTCTTGTAATTTTGGTACACTCACAGACAATTTGATAAGGGACCGGATTATTTTAGGGATCAGGGACAGAGCCATTAAAGATCGCTTGCTACGAGTTAAGGACCTAGACCTCAATAAAGCATTAGAAGTGTGTAGAGCTGCGGAACGTACCAAAACTCAGTTAGCCGATATTTGTCCAAATAATGAAGTGTGTAAAGTTACAAAATTCAGGCAACTTAAGGACGGTTCCGGTAAAAGTGTTAGTAGGCCTAGTGGATCTAAGCCTAATTGGTCCAAATATAGTGACAAGCAGACTCCTGGGACTTGGAATAGAAATAAGTTTCAGAAGCCTTGTAGTAAATGTTGGTATGAACATCCGCGCTTTAAATGTCCGGCTTTTGGAAAGCGCTGCAACTATTGTAAGCGATCTAATCATTTTGCTTCTCAGTGTAGAAATAATAAAGCAGTGAATTCGGTTGAAACCGGTGAAGATTTTTTTATTGATGGAATTGAAGCGAACTTTGTTAACAAACTTTCACAAAGGCCCAGCCCTTCTGAGGAAAAAAAATGGACTGTAGATCTAGAAATTAACCATAACCGTATTTCCTTTAAACTAGACACTGGAGCTCAGGTTAATTGTTTAAATGCCAGTGTTCTAAAGCGAAAAGGCCATGATTTGCATAATTTAACGCCTTCATCCAATAACTTGTCAACTTACACAGGTAATAAAAT